TCTTTCTTTTCAGGTTCTGAAAACCCGTCTCGCTCTGAGGACAACCGGCCAGTACGCCGGGATCTCGGACTGCGCCAAGCAGATTTTCAGGAAAGAAGGCCTCGGGGCGTTTTATAAGGGTTACGTCCCGAACATGCTGGGCATCATCCCGTACGCCGGTATCGACCTGGCCGTGTACGAGGTGAGAACGGACTCTTCTAGCTTTAAACTTTGGTTCTGATGAGCCACAAAGTCTTAATTTCTGGGTTTTGTGGTTTCAGACGCTGAAGAACGGCTATCTGCAGCAGTACGGCGCCAACAGCACCGACCCGGGCATTCTGGTTCTGCTGGCCTGCGGCACAGTGTCCAGTACCTGCGGTCAGCTCGCCAGCTACCCCCTGGCGCTGGTCCGAACCCGCATGCAGGCACAAGGTGAGACTGAGTTCTTCTCTGGCTCCCATTTAGGACCATTAATAAACTACTGAAATAATCCTAGAATTTATTTATAATGCTCCTTATATCCTTAGTTCTCAAAGGGCAAAAATCAAAACAAGCAATTGTAATGACTAAAAATGATTAAATGTGTAAATTAATCATAAAATTGCACAACAAACTAAAGAAAGCAGTTTGATAAAAGAACAGCACAATCAAAGCAGAAATTAGGCCAAAACTGCACAAAAAAATAAACATTTTGTATTTAAAATTAAAAAAAACCTTTGTATGCAAATATGTACATGACAAAGTTTTAGTTTCACCCAATTAAAATGTAAAAAAAAAAAGAAGCTATTAATCACTTCCTTTGCTACAAATGATATGTAGTTGGATTTTATGCATAAAATGTTTTATTTAAAAAATTTAATTGTTGCATCTTGTATTTCTAATGTATAAAAAGGATTATTAAAATAACAGTTGCTGCTCTAGACTTGATTTATGCATCAGACTAAAACTCTTATCACTCTAGGGAATGAACTTCTAATCAGTCGATGTGAAGCACATTTTATCTAAGATTAGATGTATTAAAGATTTTATGGCTCCTTTTTGTTGGGAACTACAATTAACAAGAAGGGATGTTTGCAGTTTAATCCCTCACAGATTTTGCAGCGCCAATTAGAAATATTTGCGGCAGATTAGGCAGTAATTGCAAATGCATGATGTTTTGACATCAGGTCTGAGGCAGCAGTGTAGTAAAAGTAAAATACTGTCACCTGCAGGTGGGAGTTTGCACTGACTTGAACCCAAAGTTTTTCACCATTTTTGTGGGAAATTAGGCATCGGTGCAAAAACATCTGAATTTTGAGTGAACTTCTATGAACGCAAGATAATAAAAATACTGACTTATTTTGTCATTGAAGTCTCGAGCCACATAAAACCTGAGTGAAGTCGGACACGTGCTTCAGGTGACTGAGGAAAACTCTTCACTATTTTATCTTAATTTCTGCAGCTGTGACGGAGGGTAACCACCAGCAGGCGTCCATGACGGGCGTCTTCAGGCAGATCCTGCAGAACGAAGGCCCCGCCGGGCTCTACAGAGGCCTGGCCCCAAACTTCCTGAAGGTCATCCCGGCCGTCAGCATCAGCTACGTCGTCTACGAACACCTCAAGACTCAGCTGGGGGTGACGTCGCGCTGAGCCGCCGACCCGCCCGGCGTTAGGAGTCTCATTCTGTGAATGTCAGCTGACGTCAGGCTGAGGAAGAGGAGGAGATTATGGACTCTGTGAGCTCAGGATGTCAGGATTACGACCGCTGCTATTTATGTTTTTAAGTGTCGAAATCGAGGACCAAATGTTTGGGCTCGAGTCTGTCCAGGTCTTTGTGTAGCTCTGTAAGCTACTGACTGTAGCATTAAAATGCTCTGTAGCCGTTATCAGTTCTGCCTCTTCATCCTAAAGAGGGAACATCTTTGCACAAACCTCATCCTTTTTAGTTGAGTGGCTATTTATTTCCACCCCTCCTGTATTTATTTATTCTCTAGATGAAGGGAATAAGCCAATAGTGCTATTATAATTTATGGTGTGGGATGATCGCCTTAACATCCACTAAACACTAACTGTAGTCGTGTGACGTTTTTATTTTTGTATTTAAAAGCTGGAAGTCGGCACATGTTCTGTGCCTTTTGGAGGATTGTTGTCTTGAATGTTCACCTCAGGTTTAAGGGAAATGTATTATGAGCACATGTTCAAAAGCTCTGGAGGGAAATATGAAGCATTTTGCACTTTAATCAATGTTAGAAGGGCTTATAAATGACTTATCAATGCAGAATGAGTATAATTTCAGAATAAAGATGTTTTAGTATTTTAATGGACCATTTTGATCCAAATAAAAGCATAATTACATTAAGTCTCTGCTGTTTTGTTTTATTTTGCATGTAGATCATCCTGGTTTTTTTGTCTGAATGACAAACTGAGAAGTTGGGAAATACTGTTTCAGGATTTGAAAGCGGTGGCTTTTGGGGAAAAAATCTGGTTTTAAATGAATTTTTACTTCCAGGGTAAATAAGTATTGCACAAGACTGAATCAGTTTTCTGTCAAACTTTATAAATCTTCTGGATCCTGGCTTTACCAGGATTTCAATAAATGGAAATTTACCATGAGTCATAAATTACATACTTAAAAAAGGTGTTTGTTTTTTTTTTTTGAAGATCTGACTCCAATTTAAAAACATAAACTTGCATCTGAAATCCTACAATTTTGATAAGTTTAAAATTAAACACAAAAATTTACTAATCATGATGTAATACAAATTACCAAAAATAATTTGTGGTTGCAAGAATTTTATTTTTATTAATCAAAAGGTTAAATACCTACTTAATACCAGAGGTGGGTAGAAAACCCAAAAATTTTACTCAATTAGCAGCACTTCATATTTTTACTCAAGTAAGTAGATAATAGAAATTACTTTACTAAAGTATTTGGTGAAAGTTGACTCAAGTACTTGGACTTTTCATTTATAAATATTACATAGTCAAATGGACCAAAACAAAGTTAAGTGGAAATTTTGGTATTTTAAGAACAAAAATGACTATAATTCATATAAGCAACAAAAATAGTCGGGCGAAAGAGTTTTTTATTGAAAGAAACTGATTTGGAAAAATTAACATTTTAATCAAAACTGCAGGTGTGTGTCTGAGTCTGGTGAATCTCTGGTTAAAACATGTTTTATCAATCTGGGTAGAAAATCTAGAAATTTTACTTAAGAGTAGAAAGACTTCATAATAAAATGATTCAAGTAAAAGTAAAAATAATCCTAAAAGTATTTTTTTATTCAGAAAAATTAAGTAAATATAGTTATCACCCAGAAAAGCCTAAAAAAACATTTACCTTCTTTGTAGTTTAACTCTTTTTACTGCTTTTACAAACCCATCATGATCAACAAAATTTGGTTTTTCCTTTTTTTTAATTGCAAAAAAATAAAATTAAAAAAAACGCTTTAAGGTCAACGTGAAAACTGATTTCTATGAAATGTAACAAATTAAGTGATGGGACAAAAGATGGAGTAAAACTATTTCTAAAAATACTTATTTTTTGTAATGATTCATAAAGTTTCTAAAATGTAACTTCTTACTTCCCACCTGTGGAATTTGGATGTCAGCACATTTAAATATTACATACTAAAAGTGTTGGTTTAAAACACTAAACAAACCAATTAAAAATATGCCAAATGGAAATCAAGTGCTGTAACTCTTATTTAAATAAAGAGCTGCTGTGGATTGTGATGCCCACTTTAAAAAATACAGGGTTATATATTCAACACAACTTCACTCCAGTCTCATCAGATTTATGTAAATTTCTCACTCAGGCATAAAATGTTTCTGCTTAAGTTAAACAGTAATTTTCTGAGGACTGGACTGCTTGTACTTTAGCCTGACTGTTTCCCAGAAGCATCCAGGAGTCTCAGGAAATACAGAGATTAAAGTCACTCTGAAGTCTGTCAGGAAGTGACTCACCGTGCTTTGAGTAGACCAACGACTGAAAACGCTGTGACCTTTAAATTTATTCTTTCTTCTTGATTGTTGGATGAGCTGTGAGCAGATCAGAGATGATTCATTATGAAAACACAACTAACTCACACCAACACATCTAAAAAGGTCCAGTTATTTTTTAAATAACTTTTGTTTTTATTTCTTCTTGGTAGATGTTTCAATCATCAAAAAGTTTTAACCAAGGAACTGTGACCCACTCTTGTTTACTGAATTGTTTTCATTCAGCCACATTGGAAGGTTGTAATACCTATCAGACTGTTTAAGGTCATCCCACTGCATCTTGATTTGATTCAAGTCTTTACTTTAACTAGGCCACTCCAAAATCTTAATTCTTGTTTAGCCAATCAGATATTACATTACTGGCGCTCTTTGGATCAATGCAAAGTTCTCATGTTACGTCAGAGTTTTGTAGCTGACAGCCATATTGATGGGTGTCTGTAGCTAATTGTTAATAAACAAGCTCAAGCTCATTCCTATTTAATTTATAAACAATACAAGTATGTTACAATTATTACTCGATTCTAATGAGTCTAATTTTTGCGTTTTTGTTGGTTTCAAAGCCATGGTTCATCTATGCTTTGCACTGTGCTTGCCTGCCAAGATGGTGGTTCAGTGGCGCAGATCCCTTCTGGTTCAGATTTGTGGGAACTATGAATTATTGCAAATCCAGGTTCTGAATGCTATGTTGTCGAGTATAATCTCCTCTGCCATCATCTGTTGGTCCAGCAGCATCAGCACCAGGGACTTAAAAACATAAAGAACTGAGAAAGATGGCTGGTTCTGTTCTGGAATCACTGGAGATAATGGTGCAAAAACTGATTGCTTTAGAAGTTTCTTCAGTCAGAGGCTTCTTCAAAGTCACTGTGATACAGACTGATACAGGATGTCCTTCCTGGCTACTGCTATTAGGATCTTCAACAGTTGTTTGAAAAACCTTGGATAATATGATTTACAACAATATTCAATTGAAGTATTTTGAATTTGATTTTAATTTAGATGAGAACATTTAAACGGTTGTTGAGTTCGCACAATTTGTCCTGCGGAGGCTACCATACCAAAACACGGAAGTATTTCAATTTAAGGGGTTCCAGTGAGGGCTAATTAGTGAAGCTAGTTCCAAAATGGGTTTTAGGTTTATTTCGTCGGGCAGATAAAGACTTTTTGTGATTTTCTTTTGTTTGTTTAGTCAGGACCTTACCGGAGGTCGTGTTGCTGTTAGGATGGTCCAGAGTCTGTTCCGGTCGGGTTTTCTGGTGCGGGTCGGTCACACCGTGCTTACCTGGGTCGTAACCCTCATTCTGTTCCTGCACAACACAGGTGAGTTTATTTAAACCATCAGTTTACCTGTACAGCAATGTCTCTGTCAAAGTAAAGAATATTTAAGTCCGATTAATTAGAGGCGTTTTGAGTTTTCCATCTTAGGTTCTGTTAAATGAGTAATTCATATTTTTGCTGTTGAACAACAAAGCAATTCAATTAAAAGAAAAGAAAAAAATGGTGGATAACGATGATGTGGGCAGGAAGGTTCTCCTGCAGCAGTCAGTCTTGCAACGAATCTGAAAAAGCCTCTGACTGACAACAACTGCTGTATGACAATTTAATAACTGTTATGAGATCCTATTTATTAAACAAATAAAGTTGTCAAATTTTATATAGAAACGAATTTGTAAATCATTGAAAATCTGAAAGACATTCAGCTTTAATTTTCTTTTTATTTGGGATCAATTGAAAATAATGAAGAAAATAAAATTCTCATTAAGAACAAAATTTGAGTCACTTTCTTGAGTCATATTTTTTATTTCTAGCCAAGTTTAATAACTTAATAAAAAGTAGATTTGGGTGTGCCAAAGTCTTCTGTTGGAGTATCATTTACGGTAAAATTAAAGATAATTTAAAAAGCATGGCAAATATTATGTGTTGTACCTCACTTTTTCAATGTAAGATGATTTAAATGTTCAAATTAAATGTGTGTCATTCTTATACAATGGCATTAGAATCAATGCAGTTAGGTATAAAAAGAAGTAAATTTCCACCATATAAGTCAGAAATGTTCTAGAAAAAATTTGGAAATTTCTGAACCTGAAATGTTAAAATTTTTGTAGAAAATCTCAGAAATTTACTAGAAAAAAACAAGGAAATTTCTAAGTGCTGAAAGTAAAAAAAAGCAAGACAAGAGATTAATCTCAGAAAAAAAAAAGAAATTGCTCAACTCCAAAAATTGAGAATTTGTGTGAATTCAGACATTTTCAAGAAAAAAATAGTTTCAAAAGTTGATAATTTTCTACATGGACTTAAAGTAAAAAATGTTTGACTTTTGAAACTCATAAAATTTCCAAAACTTACAAATTTTCAACTTTTAGTATTCAGAAGTTTCTGAGTTTTTTTAAACAAAATTTCTGAGATAAATCTAAAAAAACTTTGGGCAGAGATTTACTTTTACTAAAATGCTGTTGTATTCTTGATTTGCAGTCCATCACACCGCAAAATCTGTTCCAGGTTTACTGAGCCAAACATCCTTAAACAAAATAAAGAATTAAACACAAATATCACATTTATTCTTTAAGAAAGAGGTCAAAGGTCAAGTCTGACTGTCTCATGAAATAAATAAATGTGTGTGCAGATTTGCGGCGATGTGAGGAGCGAGGAGAGCTGCTGCTGCCTGCGCTGTTCTTCCTGCTCGTCCTGCTGTCGGTGCTTTTGTATTTCACCGTCTCTTTAATGGATCCTGGGTTTGTCCTCACCGACACGTTTAAGGTTAGAATAAATTTAATAAAAATGTGTTTCCTTACAAAAAAAAGCAGGCAGCAAGGATATAAATAGTGTTTACTATTTGAGACACAGCTTGGGTGTCAGATGTTGACCCACATCTGTGTGTTTCGTATGCGGGCTGGTGAAGGGTCAGATGAAGAAATGGAGTCGATGATCCCTCAGCCGTCGACCCCTCGGCTGCGGCGCTGCGGGTTCTGCCTGCTGCAGGTAACCGGTCCCCACCGGCTCCAGAAACTTCTGATCCGCCACTAAAACTTTCTGCCCAGCTGACTTCACGTCCTGCTGGTTGAATCTGTTGGTTTATTCAAAGTTTATCTCTGGATATCTGCTGCTTTTGATCAGCTGGATTTTTTTTTTGTTTCACCTTGTTCAAATTCAGTAAAGGAATGCTATGTTGGTGCATTATAGGTAGTAAAATATTTTATTTTTTATTTAAAAAATAAATTGAATTGTTTATTTGCATCTTTTAATGTACAAAAATGCCTACGAGGTTAAATAAAATATGAATAACGTGGCAATTTTTTTGTCCGATTGTTTAATCATCAGAATAAGTGATTAATAAAAGAATCAGTAGTAGATTTGTATTTGTGAAACATTTCAAACAGCATACATCATTTTGGTTGTAATGTGACAGAATGTGAAGAATTTAAAGTTTGTTTTTGTGACTGCATGATTAATAAAATGGCGTGTTTGTCTTGCTGTGTGTGTCCTGAGCAGCAGCCAATGAGAGCAAAGCACTGTAAGACGTGCAAACACTGCGTGCGGCGCTTCGACCATCACTGCCCCTGGATCGAGAACTGCGTGGGGGAGAGGAACCACCGCTGGTTCGTGGTCTACCTGCTGGTCCAGCTGCTGGTGCTGCTGTGGGCCCTTCACATCGCTCTGTACGTCCACTGGGCACTTCTACACGCTCTAGCATCATGCAAAATTCACATTTTGAACATTTGTGTTCTTCCGTTTGGGTCTCAACTGCTTCTAAAATTAGCCCAAGTGCTTAAAAAAAAAAAAAGGGGGAAAAAGAACATTTCCACCATAAAACTCAATAACATTTTGAGATTAAGCTCAGAAATCATTCAGAAAAAACAAGGGAGTTTCAGTTTGAAAAGTCAAAAATTTCCAAGAAAAATAAATTTTCTAAAAACAAAAAACAAGAAATGTCTGAGTTTTCACTTTTTATATAAAAAATTTGCTAGAGAAAAATCTTGAGATTAATCTGAGAAGTTTTCTTGAAAAAACGTGGGAATTTTAGTTTTAAAAATTTAATATTTTGTAGAAGAAAACTCAGAAATGTGGGGAAAAATCTCAGAAATTTTTAAGAAAGAAACTCAAGAAAATATCAGTTTGAAAATTTACTAGTCAAAAACTCAGAAATTTGGGGACTCGTGTCAGAAATTTTCTTTAAGAAACTTGGAAATTTTCTGACTTCACAACTCGAGAATGTTTGACTTTTCAAACTAAGAAACTTTTCAAACTTGGAAATTTTCTGAATTTGAAAAGTCAGAAATATTTTCAAGCTCAATAAACTGCCAATTTTTAATAGAAAATATCTGAGATTAACCGCAAAGTTTGAGATATTTTCTTTGCAGAAATGTACAGTTTTTTAAAAAATGTACAGAGGCCCTAAAACACAGTCACAGTTTGCAGACATTTTAATGTGTGAGTGTAAAGGTAGAGTCGGGGGCGTGGCCATCAGCAGGTTACTTGGATTTAAAGTGACAGAGGCCCTAAAACATCTCATTCTGAAAGCAGCTCAAAATATGCAGAACTGAACAGATTAAGATCCATTTATCTACGAATGATTTTGTTAAAAAATGTAATGAACATGTTTTGTGACGTCATAACATGTTGAAGGAAACTCAGGAGGATGAGTGAGGGAAGCTGTGCGGTTTTATCGCTCTGCGTCTTGCTGAGTTAGGTAACTCGTGCTGATCTTTAGAGAAAGCAGGTTGTGTAAGAGAAAGCTGCAAAGTTTTGTTCAAGGACAATCATGGGATCTGCATAAGTTTCCAGCTAAATGACCAGAAGAGCCTTAAAGCCTCATTCAGATCACAATTTTTATCTCATTTTAATTTTATTAAGCTTAATCTGCTGCTGTTTATTTGTTATAATTATAAAAAAGAAACAGAAAAGCATTTTTAAGTTTAAAAAAACTAAATGTGCTCTGATGTTTAAGACAAAACAATTAAAAATGACTAAACAGTCGAGGATAAAACCTTCGAGAGAATCACCAGCAGGTCAAGAGTCGCATAAAGTGGAGGCTGTAAAAACACAAGACCTTAACGTGTTTTATGAAATCTCCAAGGGTTTGAGTTCCAATTCAACGTTTTAAAGGTTTTAAAAGTCCTTAATTTCTTTAAAAACAAAGATCATACACATTTTTTCCTCAGTGTCTGAAGTTAAATCAAACCTAATTTATTCTGTTTTAGCTCAATTAGATTTAGCAAAATTATTTATATTTCCCAATTGACAGCTAAATTTAATGAGAAATATTTTTTTAGAGATTTTTTTTAGAGTATGTTTAGAGTAAGAAAGACATTTAAAAACATAAAATTGTGTTAGATTTTAGTTTACCTTAGAATATTAACACAAGATCAGACTAATAACAGTAATGAATGATATAAAATAGTGAGCTGAAACTTACTATTTCTTAAGTGGTGCTGGAAAAGTTTGAAAACTTTCCTGGAAAGTGGTTGAAAAGTGAACAAACTGTTTTTAGAATAATCTGTTAGATTAAAATCACTGGGAAACAGAACCTGGAGCAGAAGAAGACAGAGGAGATCTGATTAATCAGCCCTGACTGAAACCTAAGTGCCTTACATAAGACACCGTAAACAACCTTTGGGTCTCTTTATCTGAGATGTCTTGAGGGAAGCTGAATCTCCAGACTCTAAGATACGGATCATTTAAAGCAGATTATATTCAAAACAACTCCGCTTATTTAAATCTTCACAAGCTGCGTTTACATCAACCATAAAATTGCACAAATGGAAAAATGCCAATTTCTGAGAAACTCACTCGAAAATTTTTTGACTTTTCAAACTCAAAAATTTACTTGTATTTTTTATGGGAAATTTCTGAGATTAAAACTACAATTTCTGAGTTTTTTTGTTGTTTTTTCAAATTTTTGACTGACACGAGAAATTTCATAGTTTTTTTTCTGGAAAATTTCAGATATTTTTCTCTGAAAAAAAAAACAAGAACATTTGTAAATGACTCAAATTTCCTTGTTTTTGTTTTTTTTATTTATTTCTGATTTAATCTCAAAATTTGAGTTCTTTACTAGTAAATTTCAGACCCAAAAATGTCCATGCATTTTTTCTCTCAAATTTTATTTTTTAAAAGTTTTGTTGGCTCTAATGGCCTTTATTTGAAAGTAGTTTGACAGGAAAGAGGGTTATGAGAGAGGGGGAGGACATGCAGCAAATGTCACCAGGCTGGGAATCGAACCTGCGACCACCGGCATGACGACTAAGGCCTCAATGCATAGGTTGTGCTTTGCCCCTGCACCACCACAGCTCCCCCATTTCTCTCAAATTTTTTGACTTTTCACACTCAAAAAATCTTTGTTTTCTATAAAATTTCTGAGATTAAACTGTAAATTTCAGATTTTCTTCTTGCAAATTAAACATTTTTTAAACCCACAAATTTCTTTATTTTTTCCAGAAAGTTTCAGATTTTTTCTCACAAATTTTAAACTTTTTAAACCCAGAAATTTCCTGTTTTTTTCCAGAAAGTTTCTGATATTAATCATACAATTTATTTTTTTAGCAGAAATTTGCTCTTTTTTTTGTATATATTTTCTATGTCCCTAACTTGTGTTTTTGTTGTTTTTCTGCTCCAGCTCGGGGGTTTCTCCTGGCGTGACGTGGGATCTGTGGTTCCGGGCGAACGGCTTCCTGCTGGCGGCGCTCGCCGTGGTCGGGGTTTTCTCCGGCGTCGTGCTGCTGCTGCTGGGCTGCCACCTCTACCTCGTCTCCATCAACTGCACCACCTGGGAGTTCATGTCCCGCCACCGGATCTCCTACCTGAAGAACTGCGGCGGCGAGGAGAACCCGTTCGACCGCGGCGTTTTCTGCAACCTCTGGGATTTCTTCTGCATCTGCAGGACGGTGATGTGGGAGCAGGTTTACCAGAAAAACGCCACAGAAGTCCCGCCTGAACTCAACGAATTTTAAAACGAAGGAAGTACTGACGTTTTGCAGGAGAATTTTAGTTATTTTTGTTTTAAATTTCGCTTCCAAAGAGCCAAATTTTCTGTTTATTATTCAAAGGGTTCTGAAAATGAGTAAAGAGGCAGCAAAAATTACAAATAAAGCTTTAAAAGTTTTAGAAAACTGTTGATTAAAATCACTTTAGGGAGTTACAAGGATTACCAAGTATTTTGTTTTTGGTCTATTCTAATGCAAATATGTTAAAATAAGACAAAACAAACTTAAAAGTAACTTTTCAGCAAGATATAGGAGCTTATGTGTAAGCCAATAATTCACTTATATTGATGATAATCGTATAAATTGTTTTGAGACCATTTTTAAGTAACATAATAATAATAGAATAATAATGCAAGTTTGTCCTATTAAAAATAAAAAAACCTTTAATTTTGTCAAGAACATTTTACAGAAGAACTGGAAAATATTTTAAATATTCAGAAAAAAATACAAATAAATGACTAAAACCATTAATTACATGGATTATGAAGTCTGTAAACAAAATATCCCTTCAAAAAAATTTAAACTGAAATTAAGCCTCAGAATGGAAATTATTGAGCTCCTTTAAATTTAATATGCGACTAATTGTTTATTGCTTAATATTTAAAATATCTTACACTGTTAAGTGTACTTTAAAAAATGAAAGTTTATTAATCTTTGAGAGGGTGAGCTTGCATTATTATGCCATTATCTATGTATTACTTAAAATATGCCTCAAAACATCAGTATTATTGCGTTGTAATAATTTCTAGGTCAATTTATGGTCCAGTTCAATTTGTTATTGTGACTAACCTCATTATAGGTGAAATAAGACATTTTTACCATATTACTGATCATAATATGGCACAAAATGTCTTATTCCACTCGTAGATTATTTCAATATTACTGGCTTATAACAAGCTCCTAAAAGTTGCTTGTAAATTATTTTTGTCTTATTTCAAGTGTACTAACATATTTACACTAGAAGTTAGACTAAAAATACTTTGGTAATATTTTGTGTTTTTGCAGTGCAGACTTCTTAAAGGCCCAATAACTCAAGTATTTCTGTGCAGTATTATTGTTTTTAAAAAAGCAACTTTAAAGCTTTAAATTTATTGTGTTTAATCATTGAAAACAAAGACAAAACGTCTCGTTTTTGTCTTCATCCAATCCAAACCGAGTTTGTTGTCGAGACCTTTTCCCGTATTTACAGTTGACTTCAGGAAACGTCGTCACCAGTGTGTCTCTGTACGGGTGGTTTGACGTCAAAACGTGTATTTTATAAACACAGCTAATAATCTTGTTGGTTATTTTTTAACATGTGAAAAAGCAGATTATTGGTCTGAAAAAAGCTCCTTATTTTACTCAGGTCTACTCAACATTACAACACTAAATGCCTTTTAAGCTCCAACTGCCTGTGTTAGTAATTTATTTTTAGCTGTTTAACAAGACAACAAAGAGGCAAACATGTTTTTTTTTTACTGTACTTATTTGTTTTGTATTTATTAATTACATTAAAACACATTTGATATGCATGTTGAGATCGAGTACATCTGTACATTCCTACTCAGGATGCTTCACTGACATTTAAATACATTTCTGACAAACATATATAACATGTAATACTCAGCAGCAGCAACTTAAAGTGCTACAACAGTTTCCTAAATGTTTCGCTACAGATTCCTGCGTCAGCTGAACCAAACAGCCAAAACATCGACTTTCAGAGGAATAGAAAATTTGGAGGTTTTTGTTCAAAGCAGATGATTCCTTAAACAGAATCGCTGATGAATGAAAAGGATAATATTCTGAAAACTTTAATCCAATTTTTTCATTTTCAGGGATAATTTTCACAGTTAATATAAACTGACACGGTTTTAGGCAAATTTAATTTAGTAGCATGAGAACAAGTTGGAAATATTAGGGCCATACTACAAAACAAATAAAAATAAGATTAAGAGAATAAACTCGCATGAGAAAGTCAATAATATGAGAATAAAGTCGTATTAAGTCATATTACGAGAATAAAGTTGTACGAAAATAGTTGTAATTTTACGATAAGCAATCCTTCGGTCTTCATGATAATTTTGAGTTCTAGATTTAACAGCTTTGTTCTTCCTCATTCCAGTCGGCTTTCTGTTGCTCCTTAAACAGAAAACTGTTCATTTCTTAAAGTTAAATTTCTGTTTTTTGTGTTGGGAAAGGGAGGAGAAGCCACGACTGTTGTAGATTCCACATGTTTGAAATGGAAAGGAAAAGGAAAATAATTTTATTTGTGTCGGCTGTTAAGAATTTATCAATTATTGTTAGATGAATTACAATCCAGAAGGACTACAATTCAAGACTATATGCATAAAATGCCAAAATCAAAACAGACTGCTGGATATTTGATAGATGGAGTTACCTGTTCTAGACTTTTGATAAAGTATTTGTCAGTTTTTGTTATTCCTTATGGGAAACTTTTGACTTTTTTTTGTCAGTTTCTTGTCAATGAACGTATATTTTGGCAATAATCTGGGTTTAAATGTTGTCAATGTGAGCTGTTAATCAAGTGGAAGAATTTCAAATTTTAGTTAAAATTATGCTGCATTCTATGGAAGCCCATTTCTGCCTATAAGAAAATATAAAAGCCCAACAGAAAATTTTAATTATAAGCTTTAAAGTTATAATCACAATAATAAAAATCATAATTTATAGTTTTAAAGTCATAATCATGAAAGTAAGTAATTTTGAGTTTTAACATCATAATCCAAATGGGAAATTATTTTAAATTTTACTGTCATAATTTTGAGTTTTAATGTTACAATCCAAACAATACGTCAATTGTCAGTTTCATTGTCATAATTTCACCTTTGTCATAATCATGACAACAAAATCATAATTTCAAGCTTTAAAGTTATAATCATGAGCAGTAATAATCCTACTTCTAATTACTAGTTAGCAGTAAGTAATAATTTTGAGTTTCAATGTCACAATTTCGAGTTTTAAATTCATAACCACAACAATAAAAGTCACAATTCATGTGAATTATCAAGAAAATTACGGGGGGTTTTTTGTTGTTGGTGTAAAGCTCGTCTCTACCAAGACCTTTTATGGCAGGAATAGGCTTCCATAGATATTGTGAACGCAGCAAATCAAAATGTAAAAGACAGTTGCAGGTTAAAGTGCTTTGGTGCTTTAAACCTTTTGTATTTTGAATGAATACAAATGATTTCATCAATGTCTCATAAACTGACATAAAAACAAAAGAGCTAAATGTAAAGTTTAAACTTAGTTTTTTGGAAATATGTTGCATTTAAAGAAAAATATCAGCATTCTTCCCCTTTTACGCCCTTTATTGTTTCTTTTTTTCTTACCAGTCCAAACTCAGTAGGACAACATTTTACTTGCAAAAATAAATATGCAGACATTTAGCTAGAGCTATGGCTATAATACATTATCTATGGCTTCTTTTATAACGCTATTACAGGATCTCTAGTGCACAAGCTAACCATGGCGTTGTAGCAAAAACATAAACCAGATGGTCTGGAAGGGACTGATATGTTACGACTTGTCTTTGCTACAGTTAATATGTGAAATATATTTGATCTGAAATCACACATTGGGTTAGCTTGTTTGTTTCTCAAGGCAGTGAGCAAAGCCTTTCACAGTGATGCATAGAAACGGCAGCAGAAGGTCCCCATAAAGGAAACTGTAAATAACTCAAGATAATAAGCAAAGGCCACAAAGCAAGCTAAATCTGTCTTAAAAGGCTGTAACTGGCTGGTTTGGTATAAATAAACGTGACTCATTTATTTACATTAGATAAATGAATGAATATATTGTAATTTTGTTGAAACTTTGTAACACTCTGACGATAAGACAACCGTGTGAGTCACAAAGTGTAGCTATAAGCCTAAAGTTATGTCAAATATTCAATAGTTTTAAACAAATTGCACAATTGATTTGAGCAAAAAAAAAGAACAACTGATTATTTACCCCTTGGAGCACTAAAATTAGCAATAATTTACAACTAAGTTAGAATATAAGTATATATATTTTACATATTTGAATTTATTTTATGTTTTGGTTGGGATTATTTAAGAGTAAATATGGAGATTCTGTGTTTTACAGCTTCAGCGAATCAAAGCTAAGCTAACAACTTCTCATAGTCAAGCTAGCACTCATTGGACTTTCCACAATGACTTAATAACAAAGAAACAGTATTGATTTTAAATGTAGGCATTATAACAAATGCAGGTTTTAGGAGTTTTAAAGTAGCATTGAATTTCCACAACACGATATCGCTAAAAGTACCAGCAGGTCTGATAGTTTTTTAATTTTTTATTAGCATCATAAAGATGCTAAAGTAGGCCAATTTTAAGTCAAAACAGCTGAATAATGTGTTCCACCAGCTCAGATTTAGGATTATAATTCAGTACATTCCACTGGTGGAACATTATTTGGGGATATTGCAGCATAATTATGCATCTTATCTGTAACTTTCTTCTTTATGTAGCAAGAAGAGTGAGTGAGTGAACATTTTCAACACATCTTTAGTAAAAACGTGTTGCATCTCCACAGTTATTTAGGACGTATTTTTGTTCTCGTTAAGACTAATCTAGAAAAATAAACTAAAAAAATGTTACAAACTCTTATATAATGTCATATTTTCTTCAGGGATCCAATGTATTCGATTAGAGCGGATATGTTTTACAAAAACAATGCTAAGCTAATGGCATAAAGTGACCAACATGTTAGCTTACTTTATGATTATAAAGTTGGATCACAGTTTAAACCTCCACACAGGTGATAATAATGTCCACCAGCACGTACTCTTCTCGACTAAAAATAAATAATCGATCACCTAATCGACAGCTAGCTGTTGACTGCGCGCCCACCGAGCGTTTTCGCATCGATAGCTTTGTCTTGTCTGTAAATGACTGATTCATTCAAAGATGCTGTCAACACTGGGGCAGGAGACTTTCTTTAAATGAGATCCGGTGAGATTTAAGCTGATTTGAAAGATGAAAGTCCTGCTTGTCAAAACAGATCAATACCACTTTCAGCTGCGCTATGCCTAATTTATCTTGAGGTCTAAATGGTGTAACAATCAAGAGCAAACCGAGGTTACCAAAGTCTAAAGTGAGGCTTTGTAAAGGGCTGATAGTGAGGATTAGCTGAGGATTAGCTGTACACCATTTCACTGAAATATTGACCTACGGAAGAACATTAGGGCCACTGGAAGAAAAAGAAAAGTCTTACTTTTTTTTCCAGAATGTTCACTTAAATCTCAGAATTATGATTTTAAATAAAAAAAAATTGACTTTAATATCATAATTTTGACTTTAATCTCAAAATATTCACCTTAAACTCAGAATTCTAACTTTATTCCCACAAATCTGACTTTTTTTTCTCAGAATCCTGACTTTTAATCTCAAAGTTCTGATATTAATCTCAAAATTCTGACTTTAATCTCAGTATTTTTACTTTTAATATCAGAATTTATACTTTTAATCTCAAATTTCTGATTTTAATCTCAGGTCAAAATTCTAAATCTCAGAATTGAATCATATAAATTAATTGAATCATATAAATCTGACTTTTATTGTCATAATTTAAACTTTTAATCACAGAATTCTGAATTTAATCTCAGAATTCTGACTTTTTTCCTCATAATTCTGAATTAATTTTTTCTACAAGCCCTAATAGCCCTCCGTATTCACCAGCTAATGCAGTGCTAGAACAAATAACATCAGTGTTCTTGCAAACTCTACTACAGAAGTCAACACTGGATGATTATACTTGGCAACATGCATATTTGGTACTGGTTTGCTACCTGCTACCGGCAGTAACGCCGACAAATTGGCGCTAATAATTTCCCCGTGGCGTCTCCGGTCCTTCGCTCAACCATGCAAAGCACAGAAGTCAAAGTCTGCAAAAGCCTCCTGTTGCTCCGCCGAGAGGCTGAAGGGCTTGGAGGGCGGAGACAGGACCGGCTGGAGCCGAGTGAAGTCGCTGTCAAAGTTGCTGACGTCTGTGGGCTCTTTGATCGACGGTACGAACGGCGGCGTTAACTTCCTGGCCATCAGGGCTTCCCAGTCGATGGTCTAGCAGAGTTGCACAAAGTCAAACTGGGTCAGACTTCCCCAGAAACAGAGGCAGGCAGAGAACCCAAAAAATTACTCAAGTAAGAGTAAAAAAGTATTTGGTAAAAAGTCTACTCAAGTACCGAGTAACTGATGAAATGATCAATCATTTAAGCTCAGCTCAGTAAAAATACTCCTTAAGGTAAATTTTAAAAAAAATCAAGTAAATCTAACTAGTTATTACCCAACTCTACCTTTCGTTGTTTGCCAACTGCCATTATAACAAATAAGAAAAAGGGACATTTTGCTGAAAGTGCGCAAACAACGGCGCTAAGTAGTTTTGCTACCTAGTTTTAATCTCAGAAAAACTAGGTAGCAAAGTGTAGCTAGCTACACTTTAGCTAGCTAAGTGTAGCAAAATTAGCTAGTTTTAGCTAGCTAAGTGTAGCAAAACTAGGTAGTTTTGCTACACTTAGTTAGCTAAAACTAGTTTTAGCTAGCTAAGTGTAGCAAAACTAGGTAGTTTTGCTACACTTAGTTAGCTAAAACTAGCTGGTTTTGCTACACTTAGCTAGTTAACTCCAATTTTTAGCCTTCGTTTCTCTTACACGTGAGAAAAGGTATAAAAATGAGTGGGAGAGCTGGACCAAGCAGGAAGATAAAAACATATCACTTTCAAACGCATATAAAGAATTCTCAATATATTTATAAATAAACATATGTTTGTAGTAGGTCGATCATTTTGAAAAAGTGGGAGGATTATAACAAGCTTTCATCCCAAAGGTCGTAGGTTAAAGTGCCTCAGCAGCATAGGTTGGCTTTAAATCGATGTGTTTCTTTCATAATGTGAATATTTAATAGCTTGAAAGTGTCATGGCTGAACTTCTGTTGGAGAAAATGAAACTGATGCGATTTACCTCAAAGAATTTCTCTCCTTTGACCTCGTTTGCGTCTCTCTCTCCGGCTCCAAGTCGTTTCAACGGGTTCTTCTTCAGCAGCTAAAAACAGAAAAGTTTCAGTTGAGACCCCAGTAGGTTTTTACTGTCTTTTATTCCAATTACAGCAACAAAGAGCGCCTCCTGGTGGAAGACAGGTAGAATTTGTTGGGGTTTTAGAGCCAACTGCAGCCCCCTCTCCACAACTTCAGTTCAAGAATACATTAAATAAATTGTTTTTACCAGAACAAAGACGTAATACGAGAATAAGTCACAATTTCTTATTATTGATGTTGTTTTTAACCTTTATGTGACCAGGAAAATCCCACTGAGATCACAGATCTTCTGAGAAACAGCGTTAACATGTGGGACGTTGAGTTATGTTTGGTATCAGTTTTATAAATAACAATCTTTTAACACATGAGAAACAAATTATTATCAGTAGCAATTATTATCAGAAGCAACTGTACAAACAACTATGTCTGTTTTAGAGAAAGGCCACATGGATTTGCAGAGCTGACAACTACATACAAGTTTATTCTCTTTAAAACAACCTTTTCTCTGGAAGTATTGCATCTTTATTCTGCTTTTATGACTTTATTCTTGTCATATTATGACTATATTTTCATAATTTATAATACTTTGTCTTTTTTTTCTTCACTGCCACAAACGTGCTAGAAACCTGTGCAGGCTACATCTAACAGGTTTAACAGGAAGCCTGCTGCTGCCACCTAGTGACCGGAGCCTTGTTTACCGGTCAAGCATGAATAAAGACAAAAAGAAAGTCTTCATAACTCTCATCCCCAAATGCTAATCTTCAATAGCATTGAAGGTTTCTTTTTTTGGTGTTAAAGGTGACCTACTATTCTCCGGTGATCATAGTTTTAGGACACAAAACATGATTCTACATCAATTTTTGCACAAAATAGTTTCTAGATAATGGCAACAAGTGGTTTCTGGATGGTAGGTCAACAACAAAACTTATCTTTTCTAGTATACAGCGGTAAAACCAGCTGACCAAACATACCGGAACTCTGCCAGGGTTGCTAGGCAACGGGCAGTGCCTTCTAATTTGTGACGTTACATTCTGCAGGTTTTTAAAATGGCTCATTTTCCAGACAACAAAAAACATGAACTTATTGCCTAAAAATGGCTGGGTGTCTGTTTTAAAATGTGAATTTTGCATAATAGGTCCCCTTTAATGAACTTAATTTTTACTGGAGTTAGGTGTCAGAAGACTTTTGTCTTATTTTCTGTCCTGTCCTGCAGGGTTTCTGAAAAGCCCAAGAAATTTACTTTCACAAGTGGAAAGCATTTCTGTTCTTAATGACCATCAGATTTTTTTTGTATTAATATTTCTGACCAAGTTAATTTGTCCCGTTAACCTTCTGCATGATGGAGACGGCATCAGCGGGAAGAGACGCTGGATACTGCACATCGTCATTAACGATGCTGTCAAAGACTTCTTCTTCATCTTCACCAGGAAACGGAGACTAGCAGGAAGGCAGAGCAATGCTGAGTCAGCCTTTATGTTACGAACGATCGAGTTGTTAAAGTTTGTCTTTAAAATGTTTGTAAAAACTGAGCAGATATTCCACCAACCTCTCCAACCAGCATCTCGTAAATGAGGACGCCCATCCCCCACCAGTCCACAGCGCGGGTGTAGGTGTCATCAGTCAGAACCTCTGGGGCGAGAAACTCTGGAGTCCCACAGAAGGTCGAGGTCTGATCTCCATGGCCCATCCCTGCAGAAATATCATTTTGATCTTTTACCAGTCCAAAAATAACAGAGTACTTATTAACTTACCAAACATGTAAGGAGTTAAGGAGAAAAGTGAACAATGATCTTTTAAAAACCTCCAAAAATCTAGAAATACACCAAGCAATGATAAATAAATTGATGTGTAATAATTTTACCTTCTTTACAAAGTCCAAAGTCTGTGATTTTAACAAATCCCTCAGCATCCATGAGTATGTTATCCAGCTTCAGATCTCTGCACAAACCAAAGAGGGCGTACAATAAAAACAATACTGGGTTTTGGATGCTGTGACGTCGCTTCGGCCAGTTGGACCTACCGGTAGATGATTTTATTCAGATGCAGGAACTCTAAACCCAGCAGGACACAAGCTGAGTAGAACCTGAACAGAACAGCAGTTTGTTAAATCACAAACAATAATAGTAGTGTAAAAAGCAAAAACAAGCAAACATGAAAACAAGAAAATAGTTGAAAAAATATAAATTTCAAGTTTTTGGCTAAGGACGTAGACAATTAATTGACTTATGATTAATTTTTGATTAGTGGTTAACTAGATTAAAATTAGTTCCAATTTATTAATAACGTCAACTTAAATCTTCTTTTAGCGTTGTAGTTTGGCTGCCATCCAGCAGAGGGCGCCACTGGTTATCTTTAAGTGGAGCCAGTTGATACAGAAACAAATATGGTGAGATGATACCAAAATGGAAAAAAAAAAACGGTCCAGAGTCCGGGATGAAAAATGCAATTCATGCAGTTCAATTTTGAAATCTAAACACTCAACAAGCTCCTTAAGTTTTATCTTTTATTTTTCCATCCAGAAACTTTAAGAGAATCCTATTTTGTTATTTTTTTTATTTAATGTGAGAAAACAATTATCTGTTTATTCAGTCAGTATTTAATACAATTGATTAATTAATTGTTTTAATTTTATTATGGTTTTTTTTTTTAATTCAGCACATTATAAAAAATTGAGCCCTTTACATTATGGGAAGACGGTCAACCCTCCTGAAACAAGAGAAACTCAGGTTTTTAAAAAAAATGGCCGCCTATCAACTAATTGTTAGTTGATGATGAGATCAATCAACTGTAGATTAAGTAATTAATCATTAACTTGCATCCCTAAACACAATGAAGACGAGGAGTTTGTATAAACCTGGTCTGAGCTTCTGAGAAGACGTCAGTGTGGATGTGGATCATCAGGTCGCCGCCGGGTAGATACTCCATGACAAAACAGACGTGGTCAGCGGTCTGGAAGCAGCCGTGAAGGTAGACCAGGAAGGGGTGTCTGGAGGCGTTGATCATCTCAAAGATCCGTTTCTCGCTCATAAGGCTGAAGAAAACCAAACCAGCATTCAGGCAAACACAAACATCTGAGTGAGATTTCTGGAGCGAAGTGGTGACTTTAGGAGGCCATTTTAGGTCCTTTATGTCAGAGGAACAGCAGAAAAACCTCAGAGGAGTTCAGTCTGAGGTTCAGGAAGTGACCAATGTGTTTTAAACATCTACCAGGTAGGATAGAGAGGACCATGACTAACTGGAGATCCATCCATCCATCCATCTCTCCATCCATTTTGCTTCTGGACAGGAAACAGACATTTCTTCTCGTTGATTCTGGGTTCGTCTCAATGGGACGTTACCAGAACGTCTCCAAAGAACCAAGGAATCATGATTTTCCATAATAAAACAGACTAACTGTTTCTCATTACTGAAGGGAGCCAGCTGAACCTATTTTACCTTTGTTTTAATACAGTCAGGTCTTCTGAAGCTTCACTCACCTGTCCACTTCATCACGAGTCACAATGTCTCGTTTCTTCAAGGCTTTAATGGCGTACAGTCGTCCTGTCTTCTTGAATTCGGCCAGTAGCACCTATTTATAAAACAACACATTAAAAACATCAGGGATGGAGTTTTTTTTGTTGTTGATTTCAGAGGAAGAAGATGTTATCTGTTACCTTTCCAAAGTGTCCTCTTCCCAGAACTGAAGTATATTTAAAATCTTCAACCTTCATCCTTTAGAGAAACAGCCATGCAGACAGAAACGGCCATGTCTCATTCTGGTTCACTTTATAAGACAACATCTGCATGAACATCTGTGCATGTGATTGTGTTTACTTCAGAGGAGACACGGGCTGATCCTCACATTCTTCTGCAGTGTTTGGACTGGATGGTGGGTGTATGGAAATCTGCAAAAAAACAAAATAAAAACACATTTTTGTTTGTTTTAAACATACAGTCTTATCAATCTGATTGTTAAATTTTGATCAGAGCAATTTGTTCATGTGTCGACCATTCATCCATTCATTCATGAATCCATGGATGGATGGATGGACATAAAACTCATTTAGAGCCACAAGTGCAACATAAACTTTAGTGAAAAGACAAAATAGAAGTTTAATAAATATCTGTTATAGAAAATGCTGGGATATTTTTTAAAAATTGCCAATTTATTTCTGTTCCTATGTTTTAAAACTAAGACAAAATCTGAACTATTTACAAAAAGAGGACTGATACAGTTTCTTCTATGAGATGTTGATGTTTGTGGAAAATGATTCAATAATAATAAAATAAATTTCAAATGTAACGAAGAGATAAAAATAAAAATACTGAAACTTGTGTCATACTGTTAATGCAAGGTTAAGCAAGATATAAAATAAAAATCTCATATAAAAATGTTGGCTATATACTTTTTTACTCACATTTTTATTGTGGAAAGTCCAAAAAGCCACTTGAAACAAGTCTTAGATACTCAGATCTTTAAAACAAACTTGGAGTTAAATAACAGGACTGAAAAGTTTCAAAGTAAATTTCTTTTGTATGAATAAAAACTAAATTTGAAAGTTACAGAACCACATGATTTAGTTAGGAATTTATTGGTTTTTATTCCAGAACGTTTATTTACCAGTTTTTCTTGCAGTGCAGGCACTGATGTCTTCTCTTCTTTAGTGATGATGTTTTCTTGCTGCTTGATGTCGATGGGAGGCGGCTGATCCTCAGAGATGCTCAGTCTAAGTAGCGGAGTTTCGCTGAATAAAGAAACAACTTTAGATCTGTTACTTGTAATTATTTAATTGAAAACTATATATTGACAAAATAAGTAACATTTTCAGGTCAAAATCCCCTTTGTGCTGCTAAATTATTGATGAAATAGACAAATGAGCTCAACAACAAAGATATTTATTTATAATTAATTTATTAAGTAGGTTATTCAATCATCAGATTGGTGCAGAGTGCTGTTCTATCCGTCAGATTTACAGTCGTACCAGAAACAAATACAAATGTTCTGACCGGAATTTCTGTATGTAAAAAAATGTGATTAATTGAGATCAGCAAACTGCAGAACATGATATCACTCAGTGGAAAGCAGACAAAATTTAAAAAGGGTTCCTGTAAATTTGACCTGTACATTTTTAAGACCGTTTTAAAACCAATATGAATGGAATTTATAATGGTCTTAAATGGTTATAATGGTTTCAGAGCATTCTCTTATAATACATACAAGAGTAAAGTCCTAATATTGCCATAATAAAGTCATAATATTATTACTTTATTCTCTAATTTCATTGCTTTATCTTTGTAATTTTATTTTTTTTCTTAACATGTATAATACTCTGTAATATCACCCAACTAACTAGCAATAAATTTACACTTTCCCACGATAAGCGCAAAAAAGTTGCAAGTGCATATTTGCAGCTAGCTAGCTGTAGCCTGAACCTCCTCCAGTCAAGGAACATAACAAGATGTCTGCACACATCTAAAACATTTGCGTAACAATTCTAAGACTTGTTATGAGCTTATTTAAGATCAATTCACATATTTTGAGAATTTAAGACATTTTATAACCTCAATTTTGAATACATGAATTAAAGACTTCTGGGCGCTGTAGTTTCTGACCTTGGCAGTGAAGACGTCGGATCAGGCTTCCTTTCCGTCGGATTCGGAGGACTGTGTCCGATCAGGTCCGAGGTTGTGGAGAGATGCGAGCTGAAGGTGGCGAAGGAGCTGTAGTGAGGAAGGATGCTCATCATCAGATGGCCCCAGGTGGCAAAGTTCATGTTCATCTGAGCAGCTCGGAGGAAATTCTTTCCTGAGGAATAAAAAACAACAACCCACAATTAAAAAAAAGATGGTTTAAACAGAAGGACTGGTGCAGAGCTGTTTGTTTCTACCTCTCTCTTTTGTGAAAATGCATCGCTGACGTCTCAGTTTAGGCTGCCGCTCCACCACGGTGTCGATGAACTGAAACTATATGTGTTTACATTTATTCTCCTCGTCAATGCTTCAAAAAGTAATGATGTACCATCAAGTTCTTCCTCTCTTGGTTACCTGGATGTGGAGGAGGCCTTGCGGCTCCAGATTGAAGCCCTGGTTGTAGTCTGGGTTCCCCATTAACTCCTCCAGACGCAGGATCTTGACCGCACACATCGTCCTCAGGTGCCGCCAGAACACGCAAACCTCCAGCTCTCGAGACTGTCAACAGATTGTCAACAGATGCAACACACATTACCTGAATTACTTAAGGGTTGAACAGGAGGACATGTATATCTACAAAAAACTACAAAAAGTGTCTTCTTAAACTTAAATTGTAACGGTAAAACAAGCAGAACGACTGGGTTCGGAAGAGATAATTAGTTTAAAACTGGAGGTGTAAGGCTGACACCTGCTGGTCTCAAATAAAACTACAACTTGTAGCAGTGCAAACAGTGTTTGGTACAGCAGCGCCCCCTGCTGTTTCACAGCTTATACAGGAAATTCTGCAGAAATCCAAATGCTTTCAGAGATAAAACAATTTTACAAAGAAAACTCACAATCAGTCATTTATTCTGGAATTGTTACATCTCACCAAAAACTTGGAAAAATCTATTAACTTTATCATTTATTTTCACTAAGGTCTGAGCATATTATTTTAGTCTTTAGAGAGAGTATATGAGTGAAGGCAGAAGACTGGAAATTAATCCAATTATTAATATTCACAAATGTAAAATTTTATTTACAGTTTTGGTTAAGAAAATCAAACTGAATTTATCCACCATTTTAAGGGTAGAAACAAAAATGTTAAATACACATATGAATGTCATTGAATATTTTTCATTTATCATAATGTCTGTAACATCTGTGTTAATTTTTTTTTTACTAATGTATTTATTTTATGCAATGGCTAAAAGGCAAAATTTCAGATAGAAAAAAAACACTGAGTAAATTTCTCCCAAAAAACTCTCAGAACTTTTCTAGAAAAACAAGGTCATAAGTCATAAATTTGAAGGAAAAAACTCTTTCAAATTTAGATGTTAACCTCAGAAATTTTCTAGAAAAACTTATAAATTCCTGTGAAAAAATTGAAAACTTGAGAAAAAAACTGAGATTCTGAGACTAATCTAATTTTTTTTTAATTTCTCAAAACCTCAACTTTATCTCATTATCTGAGAATAATTTTGTGCAAACAATGTAATAGCCCATAGACTAATCCCAAACTGTTCAATGAAGCATAACAGGTCACCTTTAAAGCACAACTGAATCTTTACAATATATACAATAAGAATATGTTGAAACATGTTGTTGTTGATTGTGTTGCCTTCAGGGACCTAAAAGGTATTCTGCTGTTGTTGTTATTCTTTGGTTCAGTCTGAAACAGAATGATTGAATTAAAGACAGAGAAATGCCGGTCTGGGTGTGGGTGGCATGCGGTGGAGCGACCATGAGAAATGACTCACAAACACTGAGCGCTCCAAACAGGATGAAAAACACTCAGTAGACCTTTTTCAGTGTATTTTTTAATGTTTTGTCACAAAATAGACACATATCTGACAGCATTTCTGATACTTGTCATCTGAAAGGTGGCGACTAGAAACCAGCAATGCACCATTCTTCAAAGCACATCCCAGACTATTTTTACCTGACAGAGAGGAAAAACAGTGATAACTCAAAGAGAGGCAGACTGATTTATATTTAGTTTGCAACACGAGTCACTGTATAATCTAAAAATTTAAGCCCTTGATACAGACTTTAAGCTGCTGCAGAAGAGTGTGGACGCCTGAAACAAACACGCTTTCTACTTACCAACATCTTTAACTCTATGTATGTTAAGCTGTACCTGTACGCATCTTAAAGCCATTATGGCTGCGGTCAGATATAATGGCCTGTAAAAGCTGAGCTAACAATAATAGCCTCATTAAGCCACCACTTTCTCAGTTTTTCCTTTAAGAAATGTCTCACTGACTGATCAGACTGATCAGATTGGAATCTGATCAGTGTGCACTTAGTGGACGGATAATTTAGTCATTATCTACTCTCCCAAAAATCTTTCGAAATAACATTTATACCACAATAATCTGAAGAGTTTGAGTCAGATCAGAGGTCATTATAGCACTGAAACAACTTGGATGAAATTTGATATTTTTATGGACTCAAATAATCGACTTGGATCCATATTTGGTTATTTGATGAAATCAGTTACAATTTTCCCTTATAGAGGTCCGAGCATTCAAGGTAACAGCTTATTTAGATCATTCCAGTTTGCTAGTAATAGTGGTAAATATGTGTTAGTTATGGAGTACCACAGGGTTTGGTACTTGGACCAGTCTTTTTTATTCATAGTTTGTCTAAAATCTTTAGGTAAAACTGATATAAATGTCAAACGTTATGCAGATGAGACACTCTTATGTTAATTCAGAAACTCAGGTGAAACCCATCAGTTTATTACAAACATGTGTAATAAAAGTGTGAGTAACTCTTAATTTTAACTCTTTTTAACCAACTTTCTGCATTCACTCGCCCTGGACAGTAATAAGTTGACGCCTAGTGTGCGTCACTGGGCGTATTTGTTACTTCTATGCTGAATTGCTTATCATAAAGAAATTATTGTTGCCCATGTTTCCTCCTGTCCCTGATTGGTTGTTTTGGTCGGGAGCGTTGCATTTTTCTTCTGAGTAAAATTAGCTCAGAGAGGAGGTGGAGGTGATTAATTTTTCACAGATTATCTGTCTCATAACCTGCACAACATGGTGACAGTTTTAACAAAGATGTAAAAAACATATATTTTTTAATAAAAGTTACATATAATGCAGCTTAATGTCTCTTAGGCTTTCTTTTTCTTGTTATATTTTTACATGTGTGTGAATCTTCTATTTAGTCACTTCAGAACCGGACTCACCCGCTCCAGCTGGATGCAGAACACCTGATCCCAGCTGAGGCCGCCGGCTGCAGCCCAGCGCGTCCGGCCGACGACCCGGCCGTCCAGCCGCAGCACCGCTCTGACCTCGGCTGTGAGACAGGCAGCAGACAAACGGTAAACAGCAGCTTTTTTCAGTTTTAATTAAAGCAGTTTCTCTCTGAACGCAGACGCAAACAGAAGCCTGTCTGATTTTCAGAGCCCATGATGACATCATGTTTGTTTACCATTTAATTTGCTTGTGTTTTTCAGAGAAAGTCGGAACATTTCTGAGAAATGAAATGCACCACAGACCCTGATTCTGACAGATAAACCTTCACAGACACAGTTCCTGCTTTAAAATCAATGCTGGGTAAAGGCTTGTCACAATAAGCAATAAATCAATAATTGTGTGATAAATTAAAATGAGCTCAATCATTTCGATTTGAATGATTTATTTTTCAGTCTGACCTATCTCTTTACTACAAAAGGATTAGGGCCAGCAGGAATTCTGACTTTAATCTCAGAGTTTTGATTTTAATAATAGAATTTCTCAAAATTTCAGCTTTTTGCTCAGAATTATATTTTTTTTTTTTCAGAATTCAAATTTTAATCTCACTTTTGGAAGATTAAAGTCAGTATTCTGAGAAAAAAGACAGGTTTCTTTTTTGTCTTTTTTTAATTTGCCTTAATTGTCTTTCTTACTTCTCCAAAATTTTTATTTGGAATACAAATTTGAAATGTTAAAATTTATTTGCAAGCTGGATTTCGGGGTTTGTGATTTGACTAACTCTTAATGTTTTATACAGAAGGAAGCAACAAGTCATTCTCCTGTTCCTGTGCTTTTATTAGTAGTATAACTTCTGAATTAACTGTTCATATTTTCCCATTAACAGATGCAAACATAGCAGCAAGTGAAGCTGAAACTGAAAATGTACAGTTTAAGATTTAAAATGTTTTACTCACTGAGCGATCCGTCAGTCTTATGAGAAGCAGCCGAACCGTTTTCAGAGGGAACCAAAGGATTTTCCTGCTCCGAGTCTGACTGGGGTTTCAGTAAATCCTCACATCCCAGCAGTCTCAGTTCAAGATTCCCTAAAGGAGAAGAAGAGAAAGAAGAGGAGGAATAATCTCAGTTTCTTCAAACAAACTGTTTAAGCCCCGCCCACGTGTTTCCATTATCCTGTAAGGAGTCTCAGTGTGACCAGAAAAGAATCTGCACTTCAAAATAAGACCTTTAATTTGAATAAATCTCCCAGAGTTGAGCCTCTAATCAGTCCCCTCTGGAGAGAGAGTCATGCTGAGCCACTCCATTTGCTTCGTTTCACCTCTGAATTAACTGCCGTGAAGCTCAGAATCACCTCAAGTGTTTCCACTCTCCTCAAACTCTTTCTCATTATTCTCCTTTGACAGATCTGCTCCTCATTACATCATCAAAAGATTTTTTTTTTTTAGCCTCGAGCTCAGACAGAGACCGGCTTACAAGTGAACTGTCCAAAACGAACGGATTACACGTCCTGATTATCTGCCGCCAGCAGTCAGCGGGCGGTAAGTCATGTTCACACTCACACACCCTGAATGACCCTAAAATACACCGAATATTAAACACAAAACGACCCCAAGAAAACATAAAAAAAACAAAGATGATTTACCAGAACAGGCAGCTTGGTTGTAATTTGATTAAATCTTACTATATAAATAAATTAATACTAAAAATAATAACCATTTTTATTGTTATCTTATAATATTAGCATACAAAGTAAAAATATTTATAATAAAAGCATAATAAAAGCAGAAATATGCTTTTACAATAATAATAACTGTTGTTATTGTTGTTGTTATTGTTATTATTATTATTATTATTAATAAATATAATAATATTATTATATTATATTATTATTAATAATAATAATAATAATAATAATAATAATAATAATAATATTGAAATTATTATTTGCATAATAATAGAAATAATTTATTTTATTACTATTATAATGTCCACTTATTATAATATTATGGAAGTAATAATATTATAATGGAAATAATAATATTATTTTCCATTATTTTTATCCTGTGCTGTGCAAAGACTTGTAAAGCAAATAAATCAGAAATGTGAAATTAGACATTAAAACTGACTTATTTTGGTTTAAATGGAGCAGCAAATCTTGTGTTTTTGATTATAATTTTCCTTTTATCAGGAAAATTAAAATAATATTTCAACAGAAATTCACGGAATGTACATACACAAATGTACATACCTCCTGAACGGAGCTGTATTTTATATAACATTCATTACCAAAGCCTAACATTAAGAAAATTCAGTAATCACTTGTAATAAGATGTTAATTGACAAGTCAATTAGTTTATTTTGCCTCTAACTGGTTTGATTAAAATATTTTTTTCTTATCTGGTCTATTTTCTCAGTCAGCGGTTACCAGTTAGAGACGCAGGTCGGACGGGAATGATGGACGGCGAGGTTGGGAGCGGACGCAACGATCTGCGGTCTTCAGGCGACGCCGTTCCCTCCGGAGGATCGATCGCCTCCGCAGGAAGCCGTGGAGAATCGTGGTTCTGTTCCTGCAGGCATTTCTCCAGGGATAATCGGAGAAGTTCAAGCTTCTGGGAGGATTCCTGCACCCGAACTCGAGCCTGGAAGGTGGAAAAGCTTCAGATTCTTTCATATCAAACATTCATGTAATTATTTACCTCATTACTTATTGATAATTTATGTAATTATATATAACTCGTTTGGTGATAAAAAAAAAGTGTGAGGTGTTGTTTTTTGGCAGTATCAGAAATGGTTTATTTCACAAAACAGCAATGGAAACAATTTAATGCATCACATAAGTCACGTGATCTACAACAGGATGTTGCTACTGGCAGAAACCATGAAGAAGTAATGACTTATTGCGTGACAAACTTTTTCACCTGTGATTTTAATTGCATTTCTTATTTAAGGGAAACGTCACAATTGCAAAATTATGATTTTCTTTCGACATTAGTGGAATATTGACAAAGTTTTACGCACATTTGTAAAGGAAATGCAGCTACTGTTACAGTAATCAATGCGACTCAATATAAACACGTGGATTAGTTTCTCTTGATTTAGATGGGAGATTACTCTTTTAATCCTAGAAATGTTCTTCAGGTGATAGAAGCCTGACTTTTTAACTGCCTTTATGTGGCTCGGAATGTTCAAGCAAAGATTTTTGAAGCTGATCTCAAGTTTCCAGCCGTAATAAATGAAGATGTGTGTTGACTCTAGATTGTTCCTCTTTAGGTTCAAAGATAATAACTTCAGTTTTGTTTCTGTCCAGCTGGTGAAAGTTGTGGCACATCCACACATTTATCTGTTCTAAACTCAGGTGCTCAGATGGGTTCAGAGTCACCTGATGACCGATAATGAATATGAGAGGTCCCAGGAGCGAACCTTGGGGAACCCCGTATGTGACTTATGTTTGATCCAATGAGAAGTTACCTATTGACACAAAGAAATACCTGTTCTTTAGGGAAGACTCAAACCATTGATTAGGTTTAGGGATTCGGTTAGTAAATGAAGATTTCATTAAAAACATTTGACAAAAACTCAGAAAACATTATAAAACTGTAAGTGGGCGGCATCTTACCTCAACCAGAGGATTCTGGTCCAGCTCTGAGATGCCCTGCAGCTGCTTCACCACGTCTTTGTGCAGCGCCAGCGCATCGGTTTCTCTCTGCATGTAGTGCTGCAGCTCTGCCAAGCGAGCGTCCGCGGGACTGACAGCTACAGGAGACGTTTCTGAGAGAAAATGGAGGATAAAGGTGAAGCTACCAGCTCGGTTGATAGTTTCCTCTAATATTTCCATTAGCAAAGAAAACACTGAAGCGTCATTTATGAAATTGTTCTAACACAATCCGAAGCTACGTCTTTCAAAAAAGGCAAATGGAAACATCAGATTTCTGGCTTCCTGTTTACTTTTTTGGGATTATAATCCTTGAAGAGATGCATTAAATCATATTTTATCCCATTTATATGATGAATGTAAGGAAGCCTCAGGAGAATAATATTACAGTGATGCATTACTCTAAGTACTTAAGTCACATTTGTTGAATATTTCATGAACATTTGTAGGTTCAGTGAAGCAGATTCCAGCTGTCTGTCAATCTGATCCAAACTCTGAATTTATTTGATTATACGTCTTAAATTTAATGTTGTTTTTGGACACAGAGTGTTTTTTTATTGCTGCTGCAATATGTCGTAACAAACTGTTTTTGATCTTCATATTGGTAAATACATGATTTATTTAATAGATTTCACATTTTTTATGTAACAGAATATACAAAATAAAACAAGAAGAAGGAAGTGATGCTTGTTTTCCTTGATAAATTATATCACAATTATTTTCCTCCACTATTAAAGTATTTTAATTTCACCAAAAGAACATTTTTATGTCTTGTTAAAACAAAAAACAAAAAAAAATCATTAACTTAATTTAGAGAAACAATAAAATGTTTTTTTTTCAAAGACTTTTTTAAACTAACATGTGTTTTTTTGTTTTGTTTATTTTACTGTCATATAGTTTCAAATCTAAACAACCTGAACAAAGACCTGAGATTAGATGAATTTACATAGAAGATGTTAATCTCTGAGTGTTGTTGGTTTTTTGTATGATGCTGAGAAAAAAAAATCTGAAAATTTGAGATCAATCTGAGAAATTTTTTGGGGGAAAAAAATTTCCGGAATTCTTTCTTGAAAATTTCTGAATTTAATCTCAAAATTTCTGACTTTATTCATGCAAATGTTAATCTTCTCACACGTGGACAATTCTATGTTTTTTTCTAGATTTCTGAAATCAATCTCAAAATTTCAGATTTTTATCAAGTAAATTTTCAACTTTTCAAATTCAGAAATTTCCGTGTTTTTTCTAGCACATTTTCAAGATTAACCTCTAACTTTCTGATTTCTTTTTTTGAGCTAATTTTCAACTTTTAAACACCATGTCTTTTTTTAGAATTTTTTTTTACCTCAAAATTTAAGTCCCTTGTTATGCAAATTTTAGACTTCTGAAGCCCAGAAATTTCCAAGTTTTTTCTAGAAAATTTCTGATGGTAATCTAAAAATTTCTGAATTTTCTGGCTGAAATTTACTCCTCCATTGGTTGTTTTTAATTTATAATCACACTAATAATCTGCTGCAGATATTTGCACTATAACTAGACCAAAAATACTTGGTAAGATTTTGTGTTTTTGCAGTGTTCTGCCTCCTTTAAAGTTTATAAAATAAAGCAGAAACATGAATCGATCTTCTGTTCCCACTTTTAGGAGTTTTAAGTTTACTCCCTCTGACTGTACTGACCTCCATCAGCAGGGATGTTTTGGTTTCCTCCACCTTCTCCGCTGCCGCCACCAGCCTGGGTGACTTTGATAATTTGCAGTCGGATCAGCTCGATCTTGGAGCGGCTGTCCTGCAGCATCTGCTGAGCTGTGGACAACATCTGATCCAGGATAGCGACGGCACATCAAGAGGTGTCAAGCCTCGCTTCTTCCACACCGACAGCTCAGCGCGTTTCGAAAACAGAGCAGCGATCCTTCAGCAAAACGGAAAAAACAAACAAACAAACATGTGGACAAGAGAACGGACACGCAGAAAGTGAGAACAACAAGTTCCAGCCAGGTGAAAAACAGGATGACTGTGCAGTTTGCTCACCTCGGGTTTGATTTCTCGCTCCTTCGCCTTTGTAAACACTAATTTGTCATCCTATGAGTGGGAGTAGACGGGGGTGCATCTCAGGTTGCAGCCTTCCACCTTCACTATCCTTGAAACACAACAAGTCCTCGGACGTAACGGTGCGTTCACAGACACCCTCGGATCAATCAGCGCCTACATCCTGGGACTGTTGTGATGTTTGTTTTCACCTCCCTGCAGCTTCCTCTGCAACATCCACTTCCCTCTGCATCCTCATCTTCTTCTGCTCCGTAACCAAATCCTCCCACCCTCCCTCTCTCTCTTTCTCTTCCTCTCTTTTGCTCTTGTCTTTTTAAGAGGGATTTCTTTCTGCACAGAAAGGCGCTGCTGGCTCCGTTCTGACACCGCCGATTGCTTGCTCTGGGCTCAGCATTGGCCGCTGCGTGACCACATGTTCCCTTCCTGCCACCAACCAAAAGGCAAAACTGCTGCTGCTGCTGCTGCTCAGTTTGGGACGGAGCAGAGATCAGCCTGCAGTGTTTGGGATATTGCTTTAATCTGCTCTTACACTAACACGGAGTGAGAGATCTTAATGTTGATTGCTCACAGCGTTCAGGCGGTGGGAAGTGCGGAAGCCGCTGAACGGTTTTCAGCTGGATTTGCTGAATTCCCACAGTGACTTTTAGACAAGGACACACAACAACAAGCAGCCTTCTGGTTGTTGTGGTTCTCCTCCTCATGATTTATTAACATGAGGAGACACAATTGACAGAAGACATACCAAGGCAGAAATCACAGATTAATAAATGAAACAATAAAAATCTCAGATCATTTTCTGGGATGTCAATTGGGAAACTGATGTGCTGCAAGTGTTATGAAAAATATGCATACCTAAAATAAAAAGAATGGATGGATAAACAAATAGTCGGATGGATGAATGAATGGAGATGGATGGATGGATGGATGGTTGGGGTATAGAGAGATAGAGTAAGTACAGAATAATTTCTTGGACAGAAACCTGTTCTAACATAAGAATTACTTTTATAAGTTTTATATTTAACAAACGTGATTTGGAAATGTTTCTTTTGCCTGGATTTGTTATTTTTTGTTTGTATAATTTTGTTTTATAAAATACCAGAATTTAATAATCAATTTAGATTTTTGTCTATTTATCTATCATTTCTAAATATTAAATCAGACGATCTGATCAGTTACTTGAGTGGCATTTTTACACAATTTTACTCTTACTACTATTGCTGACTGAAAAATAGGCTGAAGTAGTGGTAGTGAGTATTAGTTATAGATAATGTTTAAATTAGTTATAGATAACTATAACTAATGTTTAAATAAATACGGATGGGTTAATGTACTTACCAAATAAATGGTTTGATGTTAAAGAAGTCTCAACAATATATTTTGCATGTTTACTTTGTATTTAGCTATGTAAGAAAAGCGCAAAATCTCAGAAGGGCTTCTTCATTAGCCCCCCAACAGTTAGGCTATTATTAGAAACGGTCTTATTTTAGCATATTCTGACAAATTTCAACAGCTTACTGGACGGAACATGAACAGAAAACGTCCTAATTAAACATAATTTTCGAGTTTGATGTGCTAATTAGCACTGACCACCAAGAACAAGGCCCCCACTTCAACTGACATTTTTTTCTTTTTTTTTTTTACAAATGCGCAAGTGCAAGTCGGTCTAACAGTAGATTTGGCCCGGCCTAGGTGAATTTCAGTTTCAACAAGGTTAAATTATTCATCTCGTCGAAGTTGTAAAAAGTAATAATTGAAGGTTCTGATTGTGTTCTGTGTTGTTTTAAGAGTGGAGATGGGGGTAAATGAGCGAATTGGAGCGGAGTAGTGAGACCTACTTTGAGAGGCGGAGCTGCTCCTCCGCTCCATTCGGCGCGCCGCGTTCGTAATGAAAGGCTGCCTGTGACTTCCTCGCTCTTCGGCAGCTACATTGTGTGGAAAGCAGCAGCACGTTGTTGGCTTCTCCACGCTGAACTCCACAGCGAATTAACGCTCTCCTGCTCTAGGAGATACAGATCCGCCATCGGTTTTTTCTCCTCAAGCGTCTTTAAGTCACTCTCGACGTGCGAAAAGAAAGAAAATGTCTGCCACGGCGACGAAAGTGAGTAAAAAGGAGCTGAACTCGAACCATGACGGAGCGGACGAGACCTCCGGTAAGGGGAATGGCGGCCTCCTGTTCAGCGCCATTTTCACTTTCTTCTCAAATATTGTTTGCATGAACACAAGATGCTGTTTAATTAGTCTGGAATTGATGAAAATGTTGCTGTGCTTCTGCTTAACGCCACCGGAGCGCCTTTGCTGCTTATAGAAACGGCAGCTGCGTATTTTCAGGGGCTAGCGTGCTTTAGCATGCCCGTACTCCTCCGTTGTTTGCTGCTGGCACAGAGGCCATGTTAGCCGGGGTATATAGCAGCTATATCGACGGATAACGAGCGACCCATTTGAAACGATCAACTTCTCGGTATTAATCGCGGAATATGCTTGAAACCATAAGAAAGTGTGCTCACTTTAATGTTTGGTTTTATTTCTACGATTGGTTTGCAGTAGCATCTAGCCCGCTCGTGTTGTTGTTGTAGTCTTACCTAACGCTAGCAGACGACATTGTTTTGTTAACGCATTTAAATCACCGCTAGTTAAAACCTCCCAGTTACTGCATAATGGCTGCTGTTTGTAGGACTCAGTCGTGTTAATAGTGTTTATTTTTTTATTGGGTATGAGTGGGGTGAATATTCTGGCATACATCCTAGCTCGGTCGCTCACGCTACCGCGGCTGTGTGAACAGTCTGCTGTCCCACATTTAAACCACGCGGCCCTGAAGGCAGCAGCCGGCAGGAAACGGCAAGAAGCCTGAACGAGGAGCGCTGCAGCCATTGGCCGCTTACACTGTCAGAGTCCCGCGTCGACTCCATACTGTTACATGTTAAATACCCTGACTCACTCCTTACTTCTACTATTTATACTTTGACTGTTAAAAAATAAGCTGTAGCTTTGATTACATAAACTGAATGGCATCTAGTCCCATTTTGAAATTCACTGGGTTTTTTTTTTGTGTTTTTTTTTTTTTTCCCACAGAGAAAGAGCAGCAAGAAGCTATTGAACACATTGATGAAGTTCAAAATGAAATTGACAGGTAGGGGTCTATTTATTATTGTTACACCAGTTTTGTTGTGAATAGTAGTTTTTATAAATGTGAAGTGATTTGGTGCCTATCTGGTGGTCAATGTGTGAACTACATGTGGGTCATGGAAACTGATGACTTATTAAATCTTAATCTGAGCTAAGTTGTGTAATAAAAAATATATTCCGCCTTACTAATGTCTTCTGCTTATGATTTACTGAAATAGACTTAATGCGACCAAAATTCTAAGTTATTTCTATTTTGGGTTTGAAGCTTTTTAGCGACACTCAGCTATTAAGAACTGGAGATGTGTAATATCAATATTAAGAGTAGAAATCAATTACACAACATAGAACTTATTTAAGATTCCAAAAATATACATGGAAAAATAATGAATAAATGTATTACAGAAGTATTAATTCAGTATTTTTTTCTGTCATGAAGCAGGAATTAAAGGCACCTAGGACAATACCGTAAAGAGATCTTTCAGTATTTATCTGTATTTGAAACATTGCAACATGAAAACAAATTTAATATATGCTCAAATTCAATGGGTGAAACTAATTTTCATATTGCAGCAAAGGATCTCTGCAGTATTTAGCTCTCGTTAAATCAAGAAAAAGAGCAATGGTTGTTCCAAAACATTTTTAGACTCCATTTCAGTCTTGTTTGAGGAACAGCAGCATCAATACACATCATCACAGGTTTATCCCTTATATGCCTAGTGGATCTAATTGGCATCATACCTAATATTACAGTAATGGTGTGCCCAATGCTCAAATTGATCATCTAAAGGCAAAAATGCGAGTAGTGCCTTTTTTTTTCCTGTACAATTTATTTTCAGTCACTGCATTTTGTGTAAAAATTAATATGAAATAAACTTTTCCTACACCTGTCGAACATAGTGTGTTATTAATATTCAAGCACTTGATAAACTCTTAGTCTAGTACTTTGTATGATTTTATACCATAAACATACAAGATGAAATTGTTTTTATTTTATGCATTTTAAATTGTCCTTTTAACCATAAATAGTTGACTTAAATTGAGAAGTTTGTTGTGGAAAGTTATTTTCTGGGGACATGGCGCATATTAACACTACTGATAAATATTTAAGAATTGGGATACAAAAGTAGAATTGTAAGCATATGAAATTTTCTTCAGTAAAATTTTTTCTTAAAGCAGAATTTTGGGCTCGTTATCTAATAAATGCTTTTTTTTTCTTCAATTAATTTAAACCCCTGTAAAATTGCCATTTTACAAATAAAATAATTTTTGATATAAATATTAAAAAATTACTCTCCTTCCTCCTCTAAGATGATTTGTCTGCTTTTTAGAAAATATTTCTTGTTTTGTTTGAATAAAATCTAAATTAAATAACTACCTGTAGCAGGTATAAATTATTGGAGTGTTTCAGCTTCCACTGGTGCAATTTTTGCTTATGTTGACAAATATTAATTGAATTACTGGTTATTTGGGAGAGCGTCTTCCCAGATTTATAATATCCATTTCTCTTTATTTCCCCAGGTTGAATGAGCAGGCCAGTGAGGAGATCCTGAAAGTAGAACAGAAATACAACAAACTCCGTCAGCCATTCTTTCAGAAGAGGTCAGAGCTGATCGCCAAAATCCCCAACTTCTGGGTCACCACGTTTGTCAACCATCCACAAGGTGAGTTATCCACGGAAAAAAATCCCCCACTCCAATTTGTTCACAATTTCAGCTTCATGGGTTAAAAATTGACGTTTATCTCAACAGTATCTGCTCTACTGGGGGAAGAGGATGAAGAGGCGCTTCACTACCTGAGCCGAGTGGAGGTGACAGAGTTTGAAGACATCAAGTCAGGCTACAGAATAGATTTTGTAAGTGATGAAATGTTTTGTCTGTGTATTATTGAAGCTTAACATGTGTATTATGCTCATACTGGACTCTATTCTTGTTTCAGTATTTTGATGAAAATCCATACTTTGAAAACAAAGTACTTTCCAAAGAGTTCCATCTGAACGAGAGTGGAGACCCATCTTCAAAGTCAACAGAAATCAAATGGAAATCAGGAAAGGTAAGTGTGCTTTGTGTAGCATTTTCAGCAAAACTCGAGTTTTATGTGAAGTAGACTTGTAAAATCTTTGATTCCTCCTGTGTGTGCAGGATCTCACCAAGCGGTCCAGTCAGACACAGAACAAGGCCGGCAGGAAGAGGCAACATGAAGAACCTGAGAGTTTCTTCACTTGGTTCACCGACCATGCCGATGCCGGTGCTGACGAGCTTGGGGAGGTGATCAAAGATGACATCTGGCCAAACCCCCTGCAGTACTACCTGGTATGTTTACCACAACCCTAATGATAGAAACTACCATAAACGAGTCAGTGTTGGATGGCAGTTCAGTTCGTATTTTTGGTGTAGAAGTTTTGTTTTAGTTTGACAAAATAAGAACATGCTGGCATGGTGGCTGCACATTATTAAATTCATTTATTTTAAAATTAAGGCCTTATATTAATTGAAAAACAGATTGGCCTTAAATATGTTAAATACAGGTTTTATATTTTGTCACGATTATTTAATCTCATGCTATGTAGTTTTCTTGGTGGACTTTACAAAACTTTGCATTCTGACTCAAGATGTAGCTACCGCTAACTAGCTGCTAATAAGCA